CACACACACACACACACACACACACACTGATGACGTTTATCTGGCCTTTGGTCTTTACTTTCATATTCCAATCGCATAGGTAGACCCTTCGGGGACATTTTTGTCCGAGGTTCGAATCCTCTCACGCCAATCGCAGGTTTCCGATCGCAATAGCAAATATAAGCTTGCCGCATCTTCAATCGCAAAGCGGAATGTGATATGCAACAATGCACATCTGCCCTGTGAGCAAAAGGCACTCGTGGCAATGTGGCCGAGTGGTTGACGTGTCGAGCTGTCACGGTTCGAGTCCCGCCGGAGGTGAAATAGGCCAGTCCACTCCAGCCGGGATGAGGAGAACTTTTGGGCAAGCGAGGATCTGTGCAAGTGAATGGAAACGTCAGCTCTACTCAGTTCATGCACCTTGATTAGCTTGAACGAATTTGGGTGAATACAACTCACGCTTGTTGTGCGTGCAAGCGTGTGCTGCCATGAATGACACGACGAAGTGACGATACCGAAGAGACGTTGGGAATGTACCACGTCGACGGGCTGACTTTGGAGATGATGATGCATACTAAGCTCCTCCGAGTCGTCCTGCCAACATGACCAAGTTGGGCTGACAAGGTCAAACAACCTCGATGCATTACTTATTTTTCGTGTAAAAGTAGCATTTCGAGAATGCCAGTAAATCAGACATGTGCGACTGAGCACCTCTTTTGCCGAAGCAAGTGTATGTGAAAGTGTATGACTGGAAACGTCAGCTCTACTCATCGGATTGTGTGAAAATGCATTAACCTAAACGAAACGGGGTGAATACATCTCATATGTCCGAGTTACTGGTGGTCTCGAGACTCTACTTGCACATTTCTTCTGCTACTCACTCAAATATTTCGGGCTGTTAGTGAAGCTAATGAGCTGACCAATTTTTCGATGATATCCTATTTCGGAATGTGATAAAGTGATTTCATAAGCCTCGCCTGCTCTCCTCGTCAGGCTAGTCACGCAACTCACGCATGAAGGGTGTTCAGCCAGTAGCCTTATCACCTTAAACGGAATGGACTGGTAGTCCCGAAAGACTATTTCATAAACCAAACAACATAAGTAACGCTGTAGATTGCTACAGCAAATACAACTTTGCGTCATCGACAATCCCATCACAGAATGTGATATGGGAAATGCACACCGTCCCTGTGACTAAAGGGCACTGGAGACAGTGTGTGGTGGAGTGATTGACGTGTCTAGATTATGCTCTCAACTGTCGTGGTTCGAGTCCCGCTGGGGCTGTCGATGAAGCAAACAATAGAAATGGAAGAATGTCTCATATGAATGTGTGAACAGATACACTACCAGTCCCTTTATCACCCTAAACCAAAGTGATCGAATACACTTTATAGATAAATGACCAACTGATCGTGTTGAAAAGCTTCTTACCAGCGAAACCTTGTTACGGAACGGTGGCCAATTTGCAGCGGAGTTCGAGAGTCGAATGCAGAATGCCACTTCTCACGATTCTGTTTGGAACTCTGCCTCTTGCAGACAAATGGACCAACAGCGCCCCGGGCCGGAGTGGACCAAGTTACTCTTTACGCTGACTTGTCCATTTTTCTATGCACATGCACATGCACATGCGCATTCACATACAAACATACTCCTACAGATCCACATGCACATAAACGCGACGACACTCATGGTACAGCAATCACAACACGTCTTTGCCGCCATGACAGTTGGTACCGTTGCCGCTAAAGTTCTCTGCGCTTATATTTTGCCTTGTTCGCGCCGTGTTTTTTGTACCATTCGTGAGAGTTGGTCTTCCGGATGATCCACAGAGGCTCCATGATGGTGCATAGTTTTGCGACCGGATACATTA